TCTAATTTTTTACTCCAATGTTGAATTTCTCCATCAACTTGATAAACTTGACAACTAAGTTGATGAATTTTTCCATCAAAGTAATTTATATTTTTTTGCATCAAATAATATGGTGGTGATGAAATTATTTGAAATTTTTTCCAATCAAGAGAATTAATCGCTTTTCTTCCAATCTAAAAATAAATAAATAAATAAGTTAATTCTATACCCTCTCCCTTCCTCGCTTTCTAGCATCTGATATCAATTCTTTTTTTCAGGTCCTCAAGATGGCGGTTACAGATGCTGGCCACCAGGTCGTGGGCTCGTTTCTCTCGGAAAGTTTACAACAGCAAGTATGGTTTGTTTCTTTGTGTACATAATATGATACTTGACCTCATTTGTCTCTAATAATGAAAATACAATTTACAGAGCCGAGGCTGTGGATTTCAACAATTTGATATGAGACTAAATTTGTTGACCATAATGTTTAATTTATAATTTTGGAGCAAAATGCGTCCTTTCTATTTTTCTCATTTATGAAATCTCTAAAAAAAATTTGATGATTAATTACAGTTCTTTCTGATTACTTATTTTTGTTTTTGAATATTTATTTTCATAATATTTTCCTTTTTCAACTTGTTTATATTGCATATTTCTCAGGCATGATTCCTGAGCTTTGATTTTCTCAAGTAAAGTTTTGTTATATATATATTTTTTTCCTGTGCTCATTATGCTCAATCCTGCAGTTTAGCATGCATCTAGCATCGGTCATGAGGATTCTTAACGTTATGCAGGCATCTACGCTTGACTATCAGTTCATCATTCTGCCCCTTCTGAAGTCATTCATGCGGGTTTGACTTTTTAATGCAGCATAATTCTCTGCAATGTTATCCAACTGTCTTGGATCTAAATTTAAATTAGTCAGAATTTTTCTATTCCAGGAACTATTTGAGGTTTTGGTCGACAAAGACAAAAGAAGAAGGCAGATGCTGCTAGAGAAGCACTTTTATCAGAGATTGAACTGGAAGCCAAGAAGAAGAAAGATTTTGAGTCCAAGAAAAAGAATAAAAATCAGAGAAAGAATAAGGATCCAAAGGTTTTTAACTTTAGACTCTGGTTGTGTTTTTTACCATCAAGGTTGCTGTCATGTATGTCTTACATGTTTTGTACAAGTTCAGTCTAATACTCATAGCATTGCAGGTTACTCAAGGTGATGACCTGTATGTACCGCAAGAGGAAACTGAAGAACCAGTGTAAGTCCTCAATTGTCTCTCAGCCGCAGATAGCACTGTAGAAAATTATTAGAAGATCACAGCTTTTTTCTAATATCGGCTCTAATGCACATTTTAAGTTTAATCTGGGTTTTCGATCTTTGTCTTCCTCCAGTCACTTTCCTGTTAGCTACAATGGTGATTATCCTAGTTCTGTGATTGTTGTTGCTGCAAGAGCTGATGAATTGGGGCTACAGGAAGAGGAACTTAAGCATGAAATTGAGCATGATGTGGAGGAAAGAAAGCTTGAAGAGAAGTTGGAGTATCAAAGGCAGATTGCGGAAGAGGATAAGCATACAAATCTAGCCAAGCAAAATAAGCATGCAGTTGCTGCATCCATAGCAGAGGAGGTGGAAGAAATGGATGTTGCTTGCGCCACTGATTTAGGGCCAGGACTGAGAAATGTTGGTGAAAACAATTGCTTTATCAATGTGATTATACAGATTGGTGTTCTGTTCAAAGAGTTTTCCTTTTTTGGGGGTGTCGGTATAAATTTCATTTTCTATCCCCTTTAACCAAAGTATGATAATGAATTCATTTTATCAACCTTTTTGTCAATATGCAGTCTCTCTGGCATTTAAGAACATTTAGAGGCAAGTTTTTGAGAAGATCAACATCTGCTCATGCTCATATCAAAGATCCCTGTATTGTTTGCGAATTACATGGTATTTTCACTGCCCTAAGAGAAGCTAAGGAAGGAGATGATGCTGTTTCTCCTACCACTTCAAGAATTGCTTAGAGCAAATGGCAAGATGGTAATTTCCTGGGAGTAGACAATTTTGATGGTCTTGTCATCATATTTTCACCCTTCTTCAAAGTTATAAATTTAGACGTCACTTCTGTTTCCTATGCAACTTCGGTTGCTGATTTGCTTGATTTTACAGGGACAAGAATGATGCTTCTGAAGCTATTTTGGATGTTCTTCATTGGTCGTTTACTTTTGGTTCTGATACTAAAATTACCCGGAAGCAGTTACGCAGACTCGGAATTGTGATAGTGACGCTTGTATAGCACATACAGTTTTTGTAATGAACATAATTGAAAAATTGAACTATAACGCTTGTAGTACTGCTGAATCCCGACAAATGAATTATCTTTGGAAATGGACAAATGCGTCTGCAATCAGACAATTGAAGGCATGTTTTTTCTGAAGCATTTTATGATAAATTGTCAATTTTTCCTGTTATAGCAAAAGAAAAGAAAAGTCCATTTTAGATATGTCTTTTAAAGTTGTGTTATTTCCCAGCTCAGCATGATCATCCGAATGAGCTTTTGAAATGCGATATAAGGGAAAAACACCAGAATAGTTGTGGCGGCTGTAGCAAACGAAATATTCCTCACTGCATTCTTTCAACTCCTCCACGTGTTCACAATAGGTAAATTATAAGTTGTTTGAAAATATTTCATTACGCTTTGTGTTTTTTGTTTACTAGTTTTTGATTTGTTAATTGCAATTCTTAGTTGGGAGAGTCTTGAAGAGCCTGCACATAAAATATCTGCAACATTGGGAGCTCTAAGTACCAAGATAGATATTGGTGTCATCTACGAGGGTTTAGATCCAGGAAACACACATTATCTTATTTCAATGGTAAACTTGCCTTCGCTTTATACTCTTCTATCATTTAGTTCCATTTTTCATGATGGATTTAGTAAACAAATTTCCCCAAGTTCTATTGCTTATGGGCTTCATTTAAAGTCACTTTTCTTCTTCTTCTTCTTCTTGTGAAATGTTGGTTTAGTAGAATGATAGAGCTGATTTTTTTTTTTTTTTTCTCTTTTCCATTTTATTGATGAATGTCTTCTTGCTTGATTGATACTCAATTCTCATTCTTTCCCTGTAGCATAGCAAATGAACTATTACTAGTTTGGCATCACTATTTATATTTTTGGACTAAATCAATAATATGACACAAGAACAGTTTATCTCATTAACAAATTTCCTTTTAGGTTTGTTATGGCCTAGAGCATTACATCTGCCTTGTTTACAACCGTGCGAAAGAAATTTGGATTTTGTATGACAATGATAAAGTGAAGGTACATTCAATTAAGTTACAAGATTTTATTTTTATATCTTACCTTTCATTTAGTTTGTGTAATTTATGTTTAAATTTGAACAGGTTATTGGTAGTTGGGATGGTGTTCTTACCATGTGTTCAAGAAAGCGTTTGCAACCCCAACTTCTTTTTTTTGAAGTGAAGGGAAGTGTCTCTGTAACTCCTTTGGAGGAAACCAAGGTGCTTGACAATCCTTAGGAAGTATGAAAGGTTGAAAAGAAAAGATCTAGCATCCATGGCAAGGCCAAGCAAGGTAAGCAACCCTTTTTTAAAGCTAGGCTATCCTGAATATCATTCTAATCTGTAGAAAATTGAAAAAATAATAAAATTGACACGACATCTGCAAATCTCCAGGACTTGTTTGGATGGTTATATTCCCAAAGAAATATGTAGCAGTAAAAAGGGCTTTATGCCTACTTATAAAGTGACTTATTATGTATTACATACAATTATTGTTGTTTACCATCTAAGGTTGTTTTAATGCCATCATACATCTTAAGATATAGATAAAATGGGGCATATACAGGCAAGTGCTTGTGTTTTGGATTGTTGCTCTTTCATGGGTGGGGAAATTTGATCCGACGAAAGATTCTCCGAATAACTAACAAAAAAAATAAAATAAAATTGATGAAGTAAAATAAAACAAAATATTGAATTTAGTGTTCCATATTCCTCCTGAAACATAAATGAGCAAATATAAGGTTGCCACATTGAGAGGTAGCTAAAGGAGATTCCGGACTGTTAAAATTTATATTTATTTCATTTACTCAAGTAGTTGAAAACTATGGAAGGGCCTTTGCTCGGATTTCTGGTTTGTCCACAATTTTTAGAGACATCATGAGCACCATAATGAGCCAAAGGGTGCTTCAAAGCTATCCTTAGGGTTGATTTGATATTTAGAAATATTGATTTAATAGATACATTAGGGCGAAATTGTTAGATTTTGGTTTAATTTTATATTTTATTACTGTTTGTTTCTATTCAATATTCAAATTTGTAGTTTAAATTCTATAAAATTTGTGGGTTATTGTTGGTTAGTGATTTTTTAACTTATATTATTTGTTGTAAAATTTGTTATTTGTAGCAATATACTTTATAATTTTTTATTTTTATTTTTCTGTAGATATGGATTTGGGTGATGAACACCCATTTAGTCATCTTCTTCAGAGATAGTCTAATTGTGTTATTTATGTACTTGAGGGTGACTTGGGAAACCATTCCTATGGTTATACCTCCATGCAAAATTGTGTTGAGCATTAAACTTTTAAAATTAGCACACTGGATTATAAAACTGATGAGGAGGCGTTTGAAGGGTTTATCGGCTTGAAGTCTTGCAAAAGGTTATATGTCTTCGATGGTTTCACGTTAGATAACAACATTTTATTAGTAGAAAGATTAGGGCCCAACTTTGCAACGTACTTTCAAGATGAATACACAACATTTGTGAGAAAGGGTTAGCCTTACACTCATTGGTTTGAGTTTATCAAGGACAAATTTTGTGCAATTTTCAAGTATTGTTTTTCTTCTAATTATTATGTTTAATAATAATATTTTGTAATTATTATTTTTTGCAATTAGTTATAATTGTTGTTATGTAGGGATATGATCAACGGATTATGGCGCATATATTCATTACAATTTGTGAGTGAAATGAGGGTTGGCGATACTTCAGTAATCAATAATTGTGCGAAACTTTTTTTTATTCATAATCCTAACTTTGGTATGTTTAGCAAGTTATATTTTTTTTATTTTTTATTTTTTATTTTAGACTCTTTATTTTAATAATTTCTTTTCTTGGTATTGAAGTTTTTTTTTTGTTTTATAGATTTTTTTTTAATTTTTTTAATACGAAGTATTTGAGGAGCTTGTTGAACTAAAAGAAATAATCATTGAAATTTTATTGAAGTCGTGTGGTAATTGGGATGGTTCTATAAAGATGTTGGAAAATTGTTTTCATCACCTGGCTGTATCAGGTGATTTGTATTGCTTTGTGTATTTTTTGTGTGATGAAAATTATTTGTAAATTTTATTTTTATTTTTTCAAAGCTTTGTATTTATTTATATATTTTTCAATTCACTTTTTTTTTTTTTTTTGTTGGAATAATGTTGATTTGGATTGGTTACTTGATAATTCTTTTTTCTAGAATACAATGGAGAAATCTAAGTTCATTCGTAAGTTGGGTAACATTTTACACGTACAACAAAGGTTAGATACCTCTTTTCTTGACAAGTATATACATGAATATCTTCGTGATACTTATGGTATTATTGCACCTTCTGGCTGGGAGAGTTTGGTTCCAAAGTCATGGCCGACTTGGGATGTCTATTGTCGGTTTGAAGCAGATATGAGAAAGGATAGCAGCAACAATAGTAATCGGCTTCAAAGTGTTAGACGTAAAATAGTAAGATACATGTGCAACTTGTTTGAACATGCAAATTCGAGCTTTCCTGTACTTGTATATTTTTTTTTTGTCCTGTGATTTGACTTTATTAAAAATTAATTCTTCTTTTAAATTTTTGATAGATGCGTGTGAAAAAGGAGAGAATTGTTTAGGGGGAAGACAATATTATGTTTGTGTTTGGAGGGACTGCTCTCCTCTTACGCCGTGCTTGCAACCACCCTTTTTTTTTTATCTCTTGTCAAATAGCCCCCACCAATACTAAATGATATTTGGTGTGTGGTTGTTTTTTGTTTTGAAATACTAAATGGTATTTGGTTATTTATCCAAAAAACAAAAAA